CGAGCCGATTCGATATGAAGAAACATCGAGTATCCATCAACTCCCGGAGTGCGTTTGTATGTAAAGCGGATATTTATCAAACGATATCACACACACTGAAGATTCTTTCTGGAAACTGAAATCCTAGAGGATGTTGGGGGCTTTCTTGGCGTGATAACGATATGGAGGGTCATCGATCAAAGCGGGCGGAGGATTGTACAGGTCTGCTCATTCAAAACCTAATTGTGAAAACATTCCAGTCATTGCTCATTGACTAATATCGACTCCGAGCGGACTCTAAATGGAGAGACATTGAGTATCCATAAGATCCCGGAGTACGTTTGTATGTGAGGAGTATTGTTTTCAAACGATATCACTCACACTGAAGTTTTTTAATGGAAACTGGAATCCTAGAGAATGTTGGGGGCATTCCTTGGCATGATAACGTTACAGGGGTACATCAGTCGAAGAGGACGAAGGGTTGTACAGGTCTGCTCATTCAAAACTGAATCGGTCGAAGCGGGCGAAGGGTTGTACAGGTCTGCTCATTCAAAACTGAATCGTGGAAACAATCCAGTCATTGCCCATTGACTAATATCGACTCCGAGCTGATTCGAAATGAAGAGACATCGAGTATCCATCGGGACATCGGTCGAAGCGGACGAAGGATTGTACTGATCTGCTCATTCGAAACTGAATCGTGAAAAGATTCCAGTCATTGCCTATTGACTAAAATCGACTCCGAGCCGATTTGATATGAAGAAACATAGAGTATCCATCAGCTTCCGGAGTACGTTTGTATGTAAACCGTATATTTATCAAACGATATCACACACACTGAAGCTTCTTCCTGGAAACTGAAATCCTAGAGGATGTTGGGGTCCTTCTTGGCGTGATAAAGATACAGAGGGTCATCGATCAAAGCTGGCGGAGGATTGTACAGGTCTGCTCATTCAAAACTGAATCGTGAAAAAATTCTAGTCATTGCCCATAGACTGATATCGACTCCGAGTCGATTCGAAATGAAGAGACATTGAGTATCCATAAGATCCCGGAGTTCGTTTGTATGTAAGGAGTAGTTTTTTCAAACGATATTACACTGAAGGTTTTTTCTGGAAACTGGAATCCTAGAGGATGATGGGGGCATTCCTTGGCATGATAACGATAGAGCGGGACATCGGTCGGAGCGGACGAAGGGTTGTACAGGTCTGCTCATTCAAAACTGAATAGTGAAAACATTCCAGTCCTTGCCCATTGACTAATATCGACTCCGAGCCGATTCGAAATGAAGAGACATTGAGTATCCATCAGCTCCTGGAGTACGTTTTTATGTAAGGCGTATATTTTTCAAACGATATCTCTCACAACAATATTGGCGAAGCAGTACTACTATTTATTGCTTATTGACTTTGTTTAGTGTTGACCCAGTGATAACTGACTTACATAATTTCAGTGCATTTCCAATGGTAAAGATAGTAGTTTATTTTTCAAACAGTATTTGCTAGGACGATGCATAAGAGTAGGTTAGTGACTAAACATGACCAATGAGTCTTTCTGTTTCTTCTGCCCACCACTGTACATTCTCATCTACATCAAACGTTATCGATCCGGGAAAAAAAGGCAAATAGGCTGTTTGTCATACCTAATAATAATTCTAGCTGCAAGGAACAATCCTTGTGGTCGCTTTTCGTCCTATAATAGACGAGAAGATGTGTTCGATTTCTAAGCAAAAGGTCGCGCTCACGATTTGTCGACGTGGTTTTCATTTTTTGTCATGGTCGATGCGGATAACCTCTTGGTCTTCGAAGATTGTGTGTCCGCGGGCCTGTGAGTGGTACCGTTGACTCATAACGGCCGGGGATATTATAAAAGTTCTATTCAATCAGCGGTTCCGATCGAAATTGTGCGCCTATTACACGAAGGCGTCTCGCGAACAGGTGTACAGTGGTGCCCAAATGAAACGCAACCAACTGCAATAAAGGAATGCGCTGGCTGCGTTGAAATCAATTTCGATAGGCCCACATTTGGATACACCCAGTCTCCTTACATATCTGAAGAGTGTACTGTTGCCAATGGGCGAGTGGACTGATAATGAATAATTAAGGCCCTAAATTAATATTTGCAGCACTTCTCACGTTTTTTCTGTGTAAATAATGAGCCTATGCGTTGTTCGAAATTGTTGAATAAGCATATAGACGTAGGGGTCTATATGCACGACTTACTCGCAAGGTATGGTTGTTGAATCTACCTATATACACCTTTGAGATTGAGCACTAGATGGCTATGAAGGCTAGATCGTCCTTATGTCCCTTCAGGGCTTCGACTTGTTTAATATTGTATGGAGGTACTCGATTTGAAGCAAGAGGCCTATACCCTACTAGACATGTAAATCTGCAGTATCCAATACATAGACTGAGTGTAACTGGAAGTGGGGCACTGTACTTTTCTATCAAAAATGTTTCAACAAATTGCCAGAACATATTAAAGTCATCAATAATCTCACTGCATATAAAAAAGAAGTATACAATTTGTTAATAAGCTTGGAACCTTATACAATGGAAGAATTTCATGGTATGTAAGTAATTGTTTTCGAGAGTGACCCTATTTTGTTCAATTATTATTTCTCGAAATAAAGAAGTTTATTATTATTATTATCATTATTATCATTATCATTATTATTATTATTATTATTATTATTACCCTTAGTGAATCGATACCTATACACCTTTGAAATTGAGCCACTAGATGGCTATGAAGGCTAGATCGTCCTTCTGCCCCCTCAGGGCTTCGACTTGTTTAATATATGGAGGTACCCTTAGTGAATCGTGAATCGATTGTCAGCTGGCCAGTGCAACTGATGAGACATATGGCAAGTCGAAACAGTCTATCTTGCATCAGCTGACAATCGATTCACGAAATTTACCTAGAATCTCTTATTCTTGACATTCTAGGTTTATCAAATATTGTAATCATTGACAAGGCCCACCTCCGAAAATCAATCAAAATTTTGAGAAATACAAAAGATTTATACATATTGAGTATTCTCGGAGAGCTCTTCGAAAGGTCTTTCCAGTGGTGAGGAAATATAAATGAAATTCATACAGTTTTTGCTGCCTCCTGTATATTTTTGCAGATACTGAAAATTTATCTGTTGATCCGAGAAGGAAAAAATCCCCTGTGATGCTAGCTTCCGTTTTTATTTCTACTGTCAAAAATTTACCCAGTACAGTGGTGCTCAAATGAAACGGAACGACTATGGAATCCCACTCGATGTAATTGAAAGTCTGATGTTTTCGACTTCTTTATTGATCGGTTAATGCGGAATAAATTTCCTATATTGAGGTTGAAAATTAATAATATATGCGTATTTTTTCTTTTTCTCGTGAGAAAAAAATTTCACAAAAAAAAAATAAAGGGGTACCTTGTCTCCTCAACCATTCCTACGACGTACTTTCTGAGAATCCACATGCACTCACACAGAGTTAAAATACGATTCTCTGTGCCAGTACGACGTTGCTGACATCATCGCAATATGTCTAGATTTCCGAAAATCATTCTTTGAATGCATAATAACTTTATCATAACAGCAATGGAAAATAATATGTTCTTCAATCCTATTTTGCCAATTATTATGAATAATTGGCGAATGAATCACGATAAATTATGATATTTTGCGATAGTATCTATAATTTTTCATTATCGTTATATTACCTACGATATGTTAAAAAATATACATGATGCAAGAAGGTTCAAAATCAATCTTAAAAAATACTTGCTCAGGACAATTTGAAAGAAAAATATGTGGCATGATTTGATTACTTAGGAATGAAATATAACTTTAATCTTATAAGACACAATATTAATTCGTTTCCACTGAGTGGAATTCATTATAGTTAACCCTTTATTATTATTTTTTATATGTATTTATGTATCCCTATCATAAACAGAAATGTTTCTTGGGGTAATAAAGACAATCAATCAATCAATCAATCAACTTGTCAGTAACTTTTTTGCTGAAGAATTCGTTCTTTAATAAAACGGATCTATTTTCTAGGAAAGTTGCAGATTATATCTTGCAACAGCGCCTAATACTTCGAGTCCGTCCACACCACTCAAAATACTGACAGGCACAACAAGAGGCAGGAGCCATGGGTGTCGGCTTCATTCTGTTCTGACCGATGGCAGTAAATTAGGAAGGATAGTATCATTGAATGTAGCCGATAGTGATTCATTGATTCAATGATATTTTTGTTTAGGATCGAGCTCATTTCGAGATATTTCAATGCATAAATGACTAAACCATAGCCTGTCAGAATGAAGCCAACTACTTTCTGAATTCCTACTCCGAGTGCATTTGTGGTTATGCATGTTTTTGTTTACCAGTTTTACTTCTTCTATTTTTTTCATTCGTTTTTCATTCGTTAGCTATTCGTTAGCTATTCGCTAGCTATATTCTTCACCATCAGCTATTTTCAGACTAGATTCAGAATGTACGTCACACTTTGCCGCCCCGAAAATTAGAAATTGCTTCAATTTGAAAATGAAAACGACTTGGGCTTCATCGGTCGCCATTCTGTACAGCGTGGACATGAAACTGAAGAGCTCCGAACTCATTTTATGAATATTCATCTGAAGGAAACTTTCCTATTGCGACAGGTAGGTACAGTGGTGCTTAAATGAAACGGAAATACTATCTAATCACACCAAATATTCGATATTTCTTCATTGGTCCGTTGTACAGTGGTGCCCAAAAAAAACGGAACGGCTATCAAATTCCACCCGATGAAATTGAATGTCTGATGTTTTCGACTTCTTTATTGATCTGTAAATTGCGACAGGCAGGCACAGTGACCAACAAATGGAATGGAACGACTATTTAATCACACCAGATGAAATGGTATATCTGATATTTCTTTATCTATCGGTTGGTCGCGATAGGTAGGTACAGTGGTGTCCCAAAAAAACGGAACGTCTATCGAATCGCACTCGATGAAATTAAATCGTTTTCGACTTCGACTCACCCGTATCCATGGCGACCAGGCTAAGCACGTACTCGTCCTGCACCTCCCTGTCCAGCGCCCGCGACAGGGACACGTCTCCCGTGGAGGCGTTTATCCTGAAGACGTCCGTGTCGCCCTCCTTGATGAAGTACCTCACGAGGTTGTTGAAAGGCGGCGTGTCCGCATCATATGCCTCGACGGTGATGACGTAGCCGCCGTTGGGCGGAATCACGTTCTCCATGACGTAGGCCAGGTAGGGGGAGTCTGGAAAAGAGAAAGGTGTTTAGGTGTGCTGCCCAGAAGGAAACACGAGGCTCGTGCCTAGGCCATACCATCTTCAGCCCGAAGGAGCGACAATTTCTCTCAAATTTATTCTCAGAACATTTTTGTCGGGAACAGTATCTAACAGCGTCACCGTCGAGATTTTTGTTTGTCGGGTGGCACTAATTGTTTTTTTAACTTTCTTTCTCCATTTTTCATTTTGTATAGGAATAGTCAATAGTTATATCTAACTTATAACTAATAATAAATAAATAAGATATGAAAAGAAATGAAAACAAGCAAAAGAGGTTATGGGTCTAAACAATATAGCACGTACATAGTAGAGTGGATCCCACTATGAGTGGATCACAGAGCACTGGATGAAAACTCATCGAGTGTGTAAAAACAGTTGACAAACAAAAGCGTCTTCAGACGTTTTTTGAATATAGATGAATTTTCGGCTCTTTTGATGATTTCTGAAAGATGATTAAAGATTCTAGGTCCAATTTAGGAGCATTTTGAGTAATTTTAATGTAAAAAACCGTGAGCTAAAATCCAATATTTTTCCCGTGTATAATACACTATTTTTTCTGTGACAGAAGAAAGGACGAATCAATATTGAGAAGATATTACATTATTTTGAAATCTGAAAATTATCGACGTGAGATTTTAAGTTTAACAGCAGGGACACCTGCGTTGTAGGCATCTTTATCATTCTTTTGAAGTAATCAAATATCTGATGTCACTTCTGTCAGTCTAATTCTGAGATTTGATTTCAAAAAATTGCGAATTGAGTGGTTGTTTAGTAATATACGTAACCGCGAAGTCGAATGGAAGATAAAAGGACTTGCAGTTCTTTCTCGGAGACTGTATTATTGACTCATTTTTCGGAACTATGGCACAACAAAAGCCATCCACATTGTATATATATATGTGATATATATCCGGAAAAAAAGTACTCACTTTTTTCCCATAAGAAAAAAGTAACTTATGAAAAGTGACATTTCATAACCTGCCCACAGAGATGAAATGCCAAACTTCTTTCCCGTCACAGAGAATAACATATTTTTAAACCACTCACCCAAGAAGGTGGGCGGATTATCGTTGACGTCAGACACGGCGATCGTTATCCTAGCCGTGTCCGCCCTTCCTGCGCCTCCCCCCTCCAAGTCTCCTGCGCAATCTTCGGCGCGCACCACCAGATCGTAGCGCGCCTTGCGTTCGTAGTTCAAATTCTTAGCGACGCGGACTACGCCCGTATCCTCGGCGATGCTGAAGTCGCGATTTGCGTCTCCAGAGCTGATCGAGTAGCGAACGCGGCCGTTGAGGCCGTCGTCGATGTCGGTGGCGGATACCTGCGGAAAATCGAAGTGATATTACTGTAAGGTTACACGGAGGTTGCGGGGAAGTCACGTTGTGACGTTGTTGGGATGTCACGGGGATGTTACGTGGAGGTCGCTAGAACGTCAAGTTGTGCCGTTGTTGGGATGTCGCCGGGATGTTATGTAGAGGTCGCGAGGGCGTCTCGGTTTGACGTTGTTAGGATGTCACAGGGATGTTACGTAGGGATCGCGCGGACGTCGGGGTTGTGATTTTGTTGGAATGTCACAGGGATGTTACGTGGAGGTCGCGAGGACGTCACGTTGTGATGTTGTTGGGAATTCACAGGGATGTTACATAGAGGTCGCAGGGACGTCACTATCTGAAAATATTGGAATATTGCTAGGACTTGAACTTGTTCGTGTTTTAGGGTCGATTTTCAAGCGACAATACTGTTACATGTCTCTGGAACCCCATGTATTTTGGATATTGAGACCGTCGTTGACGTCTATGACGAATACCTGCGTAAAATTGAGATGTCACATTGTGAAGTGTTTTGGATGTCGTCGGAACTTGACCTAGTTGGTGTTTTATGGTCAACTTTTAAAATATAATATAGTCACAGAAAGGTTGCATGCTGGTGGCAGGGACGTATTATTTTAACTTGGTTGGAATATCTGAGGAACTTGACCCAGCGGTTGACTTTTATGAGATAATACAATCGAGTTACATATGAGTGACTGGGATTCCACATTGTGAAGTATTTTGGATTTTGCTTATCATTTTATATTTGTTTGTGGGTGACTTCGAAAGATTAGAATAGTTACGTAACAGAAGTCGATGTTACATCACATTGTGAGGTATTTTGGCGACACGCAATGCGCTCGTGTCTTCAAAGATTCTGAAGTGGCGGTTGACGTCTCCCGATCGACCGTTAAGGCCGCAGAAAATTGAGGTAATGTCACAAGGAGGTTACATGGGGGTCGCGGTGGCAGATACCTGCGAGAAATTGAGGTAATGTCACCAGGGTATTACATGGAAGTAGCGAAAACGTCACATTCTGAAGTGTTTGGGATTTCATCGGAACTCGACCTAGTTTGTGTTTAATGGTCGATTTCTAAAAGATACTACAATTACAGAGATTTCACGGTCGCCTTCTATGAGATAATACAATTGAGTTACATATAAGTCACTGGAACTTCACATTGTGATGTATCTTGGATGTTGCTGGGACGTCATTTCATCTTCGTTTGTTGTTGACTTCGGAGGATTATAACAGTTACGTAACAAAGGTCTCTGAAACATCACATTGTGAAGTATTTTAAATTTTAGTGCGACGTCATTTTGTCTCTGTGATTGGATTTGTTAGAATATAGCAGTTACTGGTCAGTGTCGACCATAGAATATAGTTGAAATGAAGAAAATATCACAGTTACGTATCTCAAAAGTAACTGGGACCTCACTATGTTATAACGTGAATGTATTAGAGCTTTGAAGTATATTAAAATGAATAGAAAATTACTGGTAACTCACAGGTAAGTCACATTGTGACTTGCATTTATTGTCGCTAGAACACGTTTCATTCATATGCAGCCTTGTTCACACTGGGAATATACATATAACACAAAGTCTCAGGTACATCACAATACGATGTACTATGGATGTTACATTGTGACTATAGTTACCTGTAGTACGCTAGCTCCGATGGACGCGTTTTCTGACACCGATGCGCTGTATTGCTTCGGATCGAACACGGGACTGTTGTCGTTCTCGTCCAAGACCTTCACGAACACCTTGGTATTCGTGGATCTGGGAGGGTCCCCGCGATCTCTAGCCTGCACCACCAGAGTGTAATTGCTCGTCGTCTCTCTGTCCAACCTGCGAAAACGTAGAGGGCTCACGTTACGTTTTTTTTTTATAATCGACAGTAACAATTGTCCCAGCGAGCACAAAAACATCTCAGAGATGTTAAAATTACAAGATGTCGAGATATTGAATCTCTACTGCGACGTTCAAAAAGATATAATTGGGATGTCACAAAACTACAATCTCCCTGGTGTTTTTGATAGCCTCTTCATGGACACGAACTAACCTTTCCAATGCTTCTTGAGAAATAATGCTGCAAATAAACCATTACTGATAGAAAAAGAAGATAGCTAAATAAGAGCTTTTCACCGTTGGGGAATCGAACATACTCTCTTGTGATTGAATTTTTACAATCCTCTCACCTTGTCCACTGCGCTATAGGTACCTTATCGATGAATGATATGAATAAAAAGATGTCAACTTGCTCTTCATTATAGTAGGATAATTAACATTGAGGCTAGAGAATGATTAATAGGGTGTCAAAGGAAACATAAATATTGAAACAAGAATAACATCCGTATCTTATTTTGATACGATTCTGTATATTCTAAGAATATTCTGATGAGAATATGTCAAATTGAATGTTCATAGTATATTTGTTGCCAGAATGAAAATACTCTATGATCATTCTGAGAACATTCTGTCAGAATATTATAGAATAAGTACGAACGTTCGAAACGTTCAAAACATTCGTGTTTGGGATATTATGACGGAGTTATTGAAAAAAATTTCGAGAACCATTATGAAACTGAAAATTGAGGCAAGAAAATATCTGCAATGAACCTCTCAAGGCAGACTATGTTAGGTATGTCTAGAAATGACATCCACATTTCAACATTATTTTCATTCATCTTATACCTCTCAGTTGGCAGACAAAGATATAGAACAGAAGAACAGAAACAATACTTCCAATATCCTTTGAAGACTTTTTGTAAAGTGCATATTACGTCTCAAAAAAAAACATCCTCATGTCCACATTTTCCAAACATCCCAAAACATCCCAGGCATATTTGTGCTCGCTGGGGTGTATACATATCATTTATTGATCCCAAGGAACATACAATGTTTATAGTAGTTAGACTATCGCAACTGTCTGAATAGACAGTAACATCTGGCTAAACAGACAGAAAATTCTGCCTGAATTGGCAGTTGTAACTGTCTGCATTCATTTGTCGATAATTAGATTTTCTACTTCAAATGGAGACTAATCATCTTCGAAATAATCATATTCAAATTGCGGCAACATGATACGGAATGGATTCAACATAAATATCCAAGGTTATAATTAAAGAATCCAAATTGAGACTACTCTCTTTCGGAATACAAAATTCAAATTAAGACAAAAGAATTAAGCATGAATCAGAAGAATCCAAATTGAAACGAAAAATTTGATTGTCTAAATAGTATGTATTAACCTGATTACAGTAACTAGTGAAAAAGAATGGTTTATTTTGCTAATTTCTTCTGCGGAAGAGACATCACATTCTGAGGACCACTTTGGAACTCCTGCTAGTTTGACTCAAGAGGATTTTTCATATAAAACAACTCATTCAACTCGGCAAAAATAGCTTACGACAAAAAATATACTAACCTTTATATAGTATATTATTCAACAAGCATATAATGGGGGCTATTACTCACGAAGGTTGAGTAATAGCACAATATATGCGAGTAGAATACTATACTTTGTCCACGACTACTATTGTTTTTGATAAATGAATCCATTTTCAACAACTGTTTAATCTTAACTCATTTGACATTGAGAAAACTAAACATTGAAGATACCTGCTATATTAATTATTTGTCTACGACTTTTGTACTTCCTCGAGCAGAACGATAGCCAGTGAATGATGGCGGTGAATAACCATGCCTATGTTGTTTATGCTTAAATCCGACCCTGCTGTCTTATTATTCATTTTGAGGTACCAACCTGCCGGAAACTCTCAGCAACCCGTCGACAGGGCCCAGCGAGAAGACGCCATTGGTGGCAGGATCCTCGGCCAAGGAGTACTCGATGTAGCCGTTCCTGCCCTCGTCCTTGTCGACGGCCTTGAGGGCCATCACCACCGTGTTGGGAGGGATGTTTTCGGCGACCGAGGTCTCTTCGGGGGTGAGGAATTGCGGCGAGACATCGTTGACGTCCTTGAGGATGATGGTGACCTTGAAACAGACACGATCGTGCAATTTTTTGTCGGTGGGACTTGACTTCGAATGTTTGTGGTGAACGTTGATATAATATCACAATTACGTAACATAAATGTCACCCGGACATCATATAGTAATGTAATATGGATGTAGCTGGGATGTTCTCTCGTTATTAATAGACAATAATGCCAATTTTGTTTCAAACTCTTGAATGAAGGTTTTTATGATCTGAGCTGGTTTCAATAAAGTTAAAATGTCAAAATCGTACTCTTTTTGTTTCTCGACAAAGTTCCTCCTTTTTTTCGAACATCATTGAGCTTTTTGATGACTATACTACAGGGTGTCAATGGACAAAAGTGGAAAGAATCAAGGAGTAATTGATGAGATATTAATTAAGCACCTAACATAATAAGCCATCATCGGAACATCACAACATGGCGATGATGTAACTTCGTTGAAGTTATAAGCTTCGATAGGATATCACAATTACGATACGTAACACATCAGTCACTGGAAATTATTGTGACGTATTCTGGATGTCGATCTGTGCCTGGAGAACTGCTGTACAGGTTTCTCCAGGAAACGCAGGAAACAATAGTGCACATACTTTGCCATTGTGAGGGCTTGTCAAGATTGAGGTTCCTTGCGCTGGAAGAGGTATAATTAAAACCAAGAGCCCAAAGATACACAGGGGACCTGAAAGCTAGCTTATAGAGTCTTAGAGAGGAAGCGGGGCTAGTCAAAGATCTCTAAACGATTTCGGGGGCAGACAGAATAATTCTGAGAAGGTCGGGGTGTTGAGGCAGATAGCTCAAAGGTTCCGTTCTAGTCTAATCTTGAATTATTCTGGAATTCTGAATGTTGCTAGAGCGTTTTTTAGTGCTCCAACCTTCTTAGATAGAGCTTTTGATGACTTGAGCTAGTTTCAACAGTATCAAAATTTGAGAATCGTGCTCTATCTGTTGCTTGTTGCTCAGCAAAGTCCCTACTTTCTTTGCAACATCAGAGAAGTTTCTGATGACAAGTGTTATCGATATGAAAATCGCGTTATTTTTATTCATGACTATTTTTTTTAACATCAACTTTTTCAATAGTGAATAAGACCATCAGGAAAGATTTCGATAGCTAGTTAATATGTATTATTACTCTAATCTCAGATAAGAGGGAGTGTTGAAGACTTGTGATTAGTGAACTTGAGTTGTTTTCACTGGTGATATCAATGTGGAAAATGTACTCTCTTTGTTGCTTCAGGAAATCTTTCGGTGACCAAGGTAATAACAGTCTCTAATAAATGTTATCTCAACTCATATTTTATACTTTTATTGGATAAGAGATCTTTTTGATGACTTGGTGGTTTGAACATTGAATCAATATATTGATTGCACTTTTGAGTACTTACCTACTTGACTAATTATCTTTTCAGTAACGAAATTTCACTATATTATCAGCGATAGTTTTCATAACAAGTGGATACATCAGTTGCTCTCAATAAATGATGAGAAAATTATGAAAATTCGTTCTGGTCTGATTATTTGCAAGATCACTAGACTTCTATTCTGATTAGTGTCCGATATTTGTTTCACTATCATTCGCCATATGAACGCATCTGGAAACTAAGCTTATTTTATTTGATGAAATATTTTTATTCTATATCTGAATAATATCGAGAGAACTGTATTCGTCACGATGTATTAAAAGCCTGGTGGATAATTCTGGTGACTTCCGAGCTTCATTCCTTCACCAAATTGCCTTGGTGTCAGTATAACATGGTGTCGATTATTTGTTTTATTAACAAGCAATGTTTGATGTCGACACACAAATACTTACACACGACCAGGGGCGGGTCAAACGAAATTTCTCAAAAAAATATAACTCGGACAAGAAATACCAGACATTTCATTTTCATTCTTCTGATGCAGGGTTAAAATCTACTAGTTGATTCTAGATCTGTGGTTCTATTTAGGTCCTACGCCTATGCCGAAGACGATGACACATTATTTACATAAACGGGTAGGTAGTGATCATTGCTTTATCCTCTAAAAGGTGTTGTCAGATATCTCATGAACATCGCGAGATAGACAAGGATAGCGCTTGAAGTGATAACGTTGGTCTTCTTCAAGTATAAGTGTTATGACACCAATGATTCGAAGTCGAACAGAAATATGTAGGTAGCTGGTTCCGAACACCTCCTCATGAGTTTGTTATCCTTTCATCAGTAGTTATTAGTTCAGCCTATTTGCAACCACTTTTGTGGAAGACCTTAGTCATCAACTTTATTTACATAACTTATTGATGATACTATGTTTCCTCTTGTCCCTGGTTCAAAGTATCCATTCTCTCATGACGATAAGGTCTGACTATGCTGTAACTTTGATAACTGTTCCAATAATGTGATAGAGTTGAGCAAACATTGAACTTAGGGGTATGATACTGCTGCTCAGAGTATAGGATAAGGTATTTTTGTTACTATATAGTAAGAGCAACTATCAGACCATTGGTTGAGAGCTGCAAGAATCTCTTGAAAATCAGGCAATATAGTGTCTTCGATTTGGGTGACAATACATGGAACAATTAATCAGATGAATTTATGAAAGAAGAGTAATTTCCTTCTAAATACCAAAATCTTTTATTGTGATGACTACATATATAGATGCTGGAAAACTGGCGAAATGGTTATGATTGAACTGGAACAAATTGAATGGACAATGATGGTAGGATAGGGCCATACGAATAAGGAAATTTGATGTGTTATTTTTAGTTTTTGAATTATTGGAAGTAAACAAAAATTTATAACTTTCGTTTTTATTTCTTCAAAGCAGAAACCAAAAAAACTAGACGTTTCTGACTGGGACATTCTTATTGTTCCAGATCTAAATTCAAATAAACTGTCGAAATTCATCTTGTTAAACAAAACTGTTGGCGTTCTTTCCAAAGCACTCTTCGCAAAATTGGCTTTTCCCAATTTTGATTAACAGGGAAGATTCGATCATGTCGTGTGATATATCATTGTAACAAAAAAAAAAAGACTTTTCAAAAATGCAAAAATCCGATATGGCGACCATAAGAAAAAAAAAAGTTGAGTGTTGTAACTTAACATACGATGACAGATTCAGATTCCTTGTGAAAAAGTGCCTTGAGAATGTCCTAGTAAGAACCGTCTAGGTCTTTTGGTTTACGCTTGAAAGAATAAAAACGAATTTTCTTCCAGATAAATGTTCAGGATGAAAATGCGCAATTTTGCTATGATTTAACCGACCTCGTATCTCTTATAATAATTGAGATCCCCATGGTGTCAAAATTGCAGATTATTATTATTGACTGACGACTGACACTGACTAGCCAGTGGTAAATTCTTCTTCTTCTTTTCCTCTAGAGATCCTGTCCTATGCATCCGGGTCTTTGTGCTTTTTGTCCCGTCAGGCGGTGATCTATGTTTCATGAAATTTTGACATGAATGCATGAATGGAAAAAATAATTACCCTCACTAAAATCCCGAAATTGAAAAATTATAAAACCGAAGGAAAAAGAAAGATAAATGAGAATTGAATCTGTTTAATTCGTTTGGAATTGTGTTTCCGATTCTCCAGGTAGAAATGATGAAATAGGTTGAATAAATAATTTTCCCGGCCTAACCTCAAAATACCAGAGAGTCTCGAAAGATATTTGCTTTGATTCCTGTAATTATACCGACTTAAAATAGCAACCAGTATTCCAGGCTAAACCCAGGGTTTGTAATTAAAGCCTACACTCCCTTGGCTACTTACCATTGACCCCTGGTTTATACTGTAGGTACCGAGGTTAGGTATACCTCCTGTACCTTTCTCCACTATTGCTACTTTGGGCCGCTGTACAAAAATATTTTGTGCAGAGCAGGTAGAGTAAACTACCTCAAAAACAATCTGGCGCTCGAGAATCCCCCCCCCTGTCAAATACCAGAGTAGTCTCCTGTCCTGAACAGAGCGTCAAAGTAAGGGTCGCAGAATAAAGACCGTTACAACTGATAAAGTTCAAAATTTATTATGATTTGTGCCTTTGTGAGGTTTGTTAATGGTATAGCTTGCGATGAGGTGCCCATAAAAACATTGCAAGAAAGCGGCTGTGATGACAAAAATGATGCAATAAAAAAATGGTATCGTGTTATTTCTTAAAATTTGGGTTTATCACTTACTTGTACCGTGGACGACAATCTTTTTTCTGGTGCGATAGCCTGGTCAGTAGCGGTCACTACTAAATTGTACATTCCTTGCGTTTCCCTGTCAAGCTGCCTCTTGGTGAGTATGCTGCCGTTTTGGAAAATTCCAAAATCTCCATGTTCGTCTCCGGATGTGATCGAATAATATATTTCCCGATTTTTTCCTGAAAACAAAAAAATCATGAAATTTTCAATCAAGAATAATATCAATCGAATGCAGTGAAAAATCTTTGAAGTACGTCCATGTTCGGACTATTACATACCAGAAGTGAGGTATACATTGATTGTTTAACGGAACGCTATACTGAATGTTGCGAGCTACCAAAGGCATTCCTTGTACGTGTCGAAAAATGTAAATGTTAATGGCGGAGACAATGAAAGAAATGGAGGATACAGCGTGTTCTTCAGCACCTGGGATATTTATTCACGGTATTGTTTGTCAGTAGGTATACCGGAATCGACAATGTAATATTTGGGATGTTGAAAATATCATATCGTGTGTATAGTTTGCGGATTTTTTTATCTCTTGAGAAGTTATTTGCTTCAATGGATGAAACAAAATAGTAATTTACGTAACAAGTCCGAAAAATACTGTTTTTTTGGACGAGTAGACAAAATTCATGGAAGTCTGTGAGTTCAAAAAACTGTTTTTACCATGTTTACAACCATGTAGAATAACAAATCAATGAGACACATTTCCATATAATATTTCTTTGTATCAAATACTGAAATTTTAACAGAATACCTATATCTACTATCTGTTACATTGGAAATTTCCTATGGACATTTTCAAACTCACTATCGCAGCTGCTTTCGATAGTATATTGCGATAATTGCAACCAAACTTTCAAAAATCGAAATGTCAACTAATTACATGTCATATAGCTGTCAGCCGATATTTCGCTGCTATGTTAATCATCTGCATTTATCGACTCGTATAAACGAATACTGATACAAGTGATTCTTTCCTAAATGCCTATTGATTTCGATTTAGCCAGGCCGCTAGACAACCACAGACCAGTTTCGAGCTCTTTGACTCTCATCAGTGCAGTGTAGTCTCCAGCCAGCAGTCTTAAGACCGCCGGCTCAACGAAGCCTAGCCAAACAAAAATCAAGTCGACATTATATTCACCCCGAGGCGTCTCTCATCGACAAAATGAAAGTAACGCCATCTGAGTTGAACAGAGGAAAGAATCACCCTTAAACTAAAATTAAAAGTAAGCACTTCTCGGACGGTTGCCGGAAAATACCATTTCGGAGAGTGAATCTTTGCTTCCCTTGTGTTCGTGAACGTTCTAGGATTCGCAAGACATTAGGTATTATTTTGATCTCAACCGACTAATATCTGACTCGTGAACAGTGTTGCCTATCATTTCATTTAGCATTCTCTTATCTATGTCAAACTAATTAGATAAAAAATCTTCAGAAGCAGATTTTCCCCTGGACATATACCAACTTCTCCTTGTCGTCATCATATTTTTTTTATTCATATTATTCTATGCGATTTGAGATAGCATGTCAATTCTCAATTTTGATTTTTCATGCTGTGTCCTTTTGGATGTTCAACAGATATAATTCAATGTTCGAAGTGCAAATAGCCAGGAAAGTAGTTGTTTTCTGTTGAATAAACCGAGAGAGAATTGATATTTTCATCATATAGAAGAATAAGAATTCTCAATGTTTTTCTCTAGGGGTCGCCGAGACTAGAATTCTTGTCTTGTCGTGAGATAAAATCAAGAAATTTCGGAAAATCTGTTTTTGACGTTTTTCTTGACGTATAATTTCTTGTCTTGACTCAAGAAATTTTCCAGATCTTGACATTTCTTGATTGACCGGTGATTCCCCGGCGAACTTTTAATTGCGTTGTGAGTCAATGTGATTAACTAAAGATCAATATTGATAGGTGATAATAATAATGAATGAGTTTCATAATCAGTAGATCAGTAGATCAATAATGCAAATCAGTAAATCTCCTGAAAATTCCTCTATATTTTTTTTTGTTCTCTGACGAAATCAAACGACGTCGCGCAGTTGCAATGATGCCAGTTTGTGAAGTGGTGGTAGATTGTATTGATATTATCTCTTATTTCATCATGAGTGATAAACGCACGTTTTAGCGTTTTCATTCTTAGTCAAGAAATTTCAAGAAGAAACCTTGGTATTGACATAAAATTGTCTCGTCTTGATATCTAAAATTACTTCTTGTCTTGATCTTGTCTTAAAATTAAGACAAGATCAAGACAATTTTCAAGAAGTTGGAGACCCCTATTCACTACCAGTCCACTCGCCCATTTCCTTGTCGATTTTATTTCAACAATCTTTTCTCTCAACACAATTTAAATAGTTATTTATTATACAAGGGAAAAAAGTAGTAGATTTAAGCTCCAGGTTGTGTTGACCCAAAATCTAATATTTTTCCCGTGTATAATACACTATTTTTTTCTGTGACAGAAGAAAGGACGAATCTATATTGAGAAGATATTACATTATTTTGAAATCTGAAAATTATCGACGTGAAATTTCAAGTTTTTAACAGAAGGGACTGCGTTGTAGGCATATTTATCATTCTTTTGAAGTAATCAAATATCTGATGTCACTTCTGTCAGTCTAATTTTGTGATTTGATTTTAAAAAATTGCGAAGTTAGTGGTTGTTTAGTAATATACGTAACCGCGAAGTCGAATGGAAGATAAAAGGACTTGCAGTTCTTTCTCGGAGACGGTATTATTGACTCATTTTTCGGAACTATAGCACAACAAAAGCCATCAACAGTGTATATATATGTGATATATATCCGGGAAAAAAGTACTCACTTTTTTCCCACGGGAAAAAAGTAATTTATGAAAAGTGACACTTTATAACCTGCCAACAGAGATGAAATGCCAAACTTTTCTCCCGTCACAGAAAAATAGTAGATTGTTTTATCAGGATAAAAAGTGACACTTTGTTTGACAAGCAAAATTTGCGAGTCGAACAAAGTCACTTTTGATCCGAATGAAACATGCTATTTTTTCTGCAACCGAAACAATTAACTCAAATAAACATGTGAAGTAACCACCAATGCCGTGCCATATGTATGCAATGCAACAAATATTGACAAATAATCCATGTGGTGAGAATATTATTCTACCTGCATTACCAGCAGGTTAGGTTTTCTAGGATGCTCCAATTGTAGTTTCAATATAAATACAACCACAGAGTGACATATATTTGTGTATGGACCAGGTGCTCTGATGGCAAATACCGCGCCAGTTCCAGCTATAGGAACAAGACGTGGAAAATTTGAGGTTAGTGAGAAAAGTGATTATTTATTCCTCTCCATACTGGCATACTACACTGTGTTCGACTTGATAATCAAATGAAGCTAAACAATATCGTTGTTTGAGACAAAAAAACTATTGCTTGCCGTGATTATTCAAAAACAAGTTATCCATCGCGAGAATAACGAATGAAATACAGATCAAGCAAGTATTTGAATCTTGAAGGCTTCCCTGATCAAAACAGAAATACTTAACTGAAATGTTTATAATTCCAATACTAAACTATAATAAGGTGTATATTTATATATCAGGTATGCGTCTCAACCCAAATAACCAACCGTCACAATGTTGTTCATTCTTGATGACGTCCAGTAGATCCTTTTTAGTTCCTAGGAGCTAAAGTCAACTTCAGCTCCTAGGAACTAAAATTCAACTTTAGCTCCTAGGAACTAAATATGTTGCCTAGCAACATACCTATTTTTGTGTCAGTAATAGAAACGTCAATTTAAGAGCTAATTTCGGTATCAAAATGGATGACTTTTGTGTCGGTTGCAGAAAAACATTATTTTGTCGGTAAACTCTGGTGGAGGGCGGGGGGTTTTATAATCACTCCCGTTATGTGGAGAAATTGAAATTCTTCCGAGACAATTGTTATATTGCATGAGTTTTTCGTAATAGGTAGGAATGTTAATACCAAGTAAAAAAAGAAGATGATTGTTCGTCATCCATATGATGGCAATGGATGTTGATATTAGAGAAACCCGTCTTGAAAAGAAGAAAAATAAGTTAACCTTCTCTCGGCGAGATGTGTTGGGATAATAGTGGGAACGTTATTTTCCTCGATGCCATTTAATATCTTCATTTGACAAGCGATTTCGTTATGCCCTTCAAGATGAAAATTACTATTTAATGGAGAGCCATATCGAATTTGTCGACGCGTCAGAGGCGATCTGCGATTGGACGCTTTGTGTGTTTATAATTAAATTTTCAGAATATTCCCGATCTTTTGTTGGCCCAGTAATCATCGGTAGATGCATTCGGTGAGTCGAATGGACCACTGAACCAATAATGTCGGGATGGGATGACCGGAAGACACGGTTCTGAAGAAGGTCAATGTCAATTATCTTGGATATATGTACAGTGATTTCCCCCCCCCCCTTTATTTTTTGAACGGGTCAACTGAAAAAAAAAACTTTGGATAATGAGGTTGTTGCATGAATACTATATTTTGAATTAAGATTGACAGATGAAAATTTCAAGAAAGCCACTGGGCGCCATCTGTAAAAAAATATTAAATAGGAAGGGGGATCTTGTAGAGGATTACACGTGATTTTTTCAAAACATAAGTAATGCGTAAATTCCATTTCAGATGACAGTCAATTATAACACCTAGATATTCAATTTTATCAACAGGCAATATAGTGAAGCTTTGATTATGTGTTTTTATTTGGAGATTAACAAATGCAGGCCTATTTGTCTGTTAACAGTTTATATTCTAGCCAGCTTTTAATCCGAGAGAAGTCTGTTTGTTCTTCACCCCTGAAAATTTCCCATTTTTTGGCTTCATATACAGGGTGATTCACCATAAATGTCCCCCCCTCTAGCTCACTTATTTTTGAACCGATTTAAAAATTTGAAAAATGATCTAAAATGATTTTTCAGAATTTTTTTCCGTTGCATCAGAAAATACAGGGTGCTCGGAACAAATGATCTACAGAGTACTACTTGATTTTTTCAAATGGAACACCCTGTATTTCATTGTATTTTTATATTCTTCCTGAAGAGCTGATTTTATCAATACATCACACTTGGGGTCTAGCGGGAATGATTACAGAGATATAGGGTGTTCAAAATCGAGATTTTTCAAGTTTATGATTTTTTTTCACCAAAACTATTCATTATTGG